AAAGAGTGACCAAGAGTGGCAGAACTGGCATGAGAGCACAGAGGAACGTGTAATGGTACCATGAATGGGCAGAAATGGCACATGGACACTGGAAACAAGGTTCCAAGGACACTAGCTAGGCATTATCTTGACAAGATCCTTGATCTTCTCACCTGATTATTCCTTCAGTGGCACCAGTATTCCTTTACTTACGACACAGGAGTTACCTCGAAGTTTACATTATTCCAGGTTAGTTTTCTCTGACACACTTTAAATATTCAAAAGATAAAATCATACTGAAGTCGATTTTCTGTGTTCACCAAATCACGGTCTCTTGTGGGTGACTGTTATCCACAAAATCTGGAGCCACATACTGTTTTTCATACATCTTCCATGATGTATTGAGTCCTTTTGCATAGTTTACCGAGGTGTCCATATATGACAGAGGAAAGGAACAATAAAGGTAGTAGTTTGGTGAAGCTTTGGGAGAAGTCCAGATACCTGTTAGTTACCTTCTGCCCCTGACACAAATAGGAGAGCTGTTCCTGTAACAGAGTAGTCATTCAGGTCTTTGATTTTTCATTTGCTCCTCTAAGAGTAGCTAATTGCTGATTCTCTTAAAAGAACTCGGAGTGTCTCACATGTTCTCCTGCTTCAAATGAGTCTCTTCATGGTGAATAAACTGTCAATTGCTTCTGTATTGTTGTTAGATGTGTGCTGTGATGATGATTTAGAACCCATGGTTATTTATGAGCCTGTGAACCTTTTCAGTGCTAGCTAAATCCTGCTTTTTAATGACTGTTCTCAGACATGCATTGCCCACACGTCTGATATTTATACAAATGGAAAATGGTGATCACAAAACTACTAATTAATATATAAAACACACAAGCTACCCGTTGTCTAATTACATTTCTCTCCCAGAAAATTGTGCCTTTCAAGCAAAAAAGCGCCAAATTCTCATTTACACCAGAAGTAATTGTACCTGGAGTAAATCTAAAAACCTCGTTGAACATACCACTAATTTATGCTAGGGTACCAGAACTGAGTTTAGAGCAGTAATTCGTAGGCAACGGTAAAAAATCTGACTATTAAATCTTTGTTAAATTTACCTGGTCATTGGAATGAAATCTTTATGTTATTTCTTGTGGTTGCAGATGTACATTTCACTTTAGCTATTAAAATAATTCATTATATTAATGCAGAATATCATACTTGCCTTAATATAAAAAAAACCCCAGAACAAACCAGCTTTTGTTCCAAAACACTGTGTACCACACCCAAATTCCTACTGAAGTAGAATAGATTTCAACATTACTTTGCATGTAATTATATGTTTACATTTTATGATAGGTGTTTGACACTTTTTTGACAATTTGCGTCCTAGACTAGAGTTGCAATGCTGCAACACACAGAATGAAGGCAAATGGCTGCGACAGGAGAATGATCCCTGAGTATTATTTGCAGGTGGTGCTCTAATTCTCAAAACAGGCAGAAAATTATTCTTGCCTATTGTCAAGTAGGAATACAGGAATTCTGGAGTTGAAAGACAAGCCATTTAGCAGGGAAATGGCTGTATCTGAGAAAAAGTGAATGACAAAGACCGGTCAGTGTTAGAACAGTTCCTTACAGTCATGCCTGACAAAGAGAATTAAAAGTGGAAGTTCAGGTGACAAAATCTAGTTCTGTAACAAGTAGAGGGAGAAAGCGGAGCGAGTGTATGGAGAATTTAGAAAAGCAAGGTGGCAACTTTGTGTTGAGACCTGGTAGGACTGAAGCTGCTTAGTTTTTTTGTTCACAAAGGTGCGACGTTCTTTCGTCTGAGACACAAACCCACACTTAATTCTGAGACCACAGTATCTTTGCTAGTATCTTTGCCTGTCAATTTGCTATTGTTTAGAGTTCCAAAGCTCAGAAAATGCTTTTACTCACCCATCGTTCATGATGAGTCGAGGGAAACATATTAGGAACATGCTTTTCTTCCTTTTCCACAGATGCTAGATATCACCCACACTTGTGTTGGTGGCTTTGTTATTTTACCATCTGGATGATTTACATTATTAAAGGTTACATGTATTTTGAAATCTTCCCATAGTCTGGGTGTTTGACTTCAATATTTGTGCAGTAGATCTTTTGGAGATCTGCAGCTAGAAAATTATGCTAATTTTTTAGTACACAGAAAAATGTAGCTCTTGACATTCTGGCTGATTTACCAGACCTTTGCAAACATCCACGTATTTGCGCTACCTGTATATATAATATTTGAATAGCTCTTTGTTTTCAAAGGGATTGGTCATGGGCAAATAACTAGCACCTTGCATCTCAGCTTAAAAATGTGGGTTAATAGGCAAAGCCATAGAAGCCCATTTGCAGCCACTCAGAGTAAAGCACAGAAGAAATGCAATAACTGACTTCCCAGTGAGCACTCTTGTCCAAATACGTTTGGAACTTCTCTGCTTCCCACTGCTGTTGCTCAGCAGGCTGCTAACGCAGCTGGTAATGCACACAGTGCTGCCCAAAAGCAACAGGATGC